GGGGCCTGCGGCTGCTGCGCGGGTTTCTCAGACCCTCCCCCTGTCGGTAAGAGCCCCCCCCCTCTGAGGCCCCCCCTGCCGCTAACTCGCTTTCTCTTCCCTCCAGGGCGATCCGGGAGCAGACGGGAAACCTGGCAGGCCGGGCAGCTCCGGGAACCCTGGCGAAAAGGTGAAGTGTCTGGGCAGCAGGCTGCCCCCCTGCCCCTGCCCCGGGTTAGAGCTGCAGCTCCCCACCCAGGCAGGGGCAGGGCCCTGCTCCGCCCTGCTTCCTTCTCTGGGCCGATGCTGCAAAGCAGGGGACGAGCTGCTTTGTCACCATCCCGGCAGCTGCACCAGGACGTGCTGCGTTTGTGCCCGTGGGGACAGGCTTGGTTCCTTGCACGGCTCCCCTTCGGGCCCAGTGGGGTCTGCTCAGGGGCCCAGACAGCTTGGCTCACGTGTCGCTGTCCTCACCCGAGCAGGGAGGTTCGCCCGGGCCCAAGGATGTACCACGGCGGGGCTCATTGGACCGATGTGTGCCGCGGCGTGCCATGCTGTACCCCTTGGCCTGGTGGAAATCACACCCAGCCAGGAGATGGGGGCAGCACCCCAGCCCCAGCACCCATGGCCTTACCCCGCCCGTCGGCAAGGGGGCCTTACCCCAGCCCTGGCACCCATGGCCTTACCCCGCCCGTCGGCAAGGGGGCCTTACCCCAGCCCTGGCACCCATGGCCTTACCCCGCCCGTCGGCAAGGGGGCCTTACCCCAGCCCTGGCACCCATGGCCTTACCCCGCCCGTCGGCAAGGGGGCCTTACCCCAGCCCTGGCACCCATGGCCTTACCCCGCCCGTCGGCAAGGGGGCCTTACCCCAGCCCTGGCACCCATGGCCTTACCCCGCCCGTCGGCAAGGGGGCCTTACCCCAGCCCTGGCACCCATGGCCTTACCCCGCCCGTCGGCAAGGGGGCCTTACCCCAGCCCTGGCACCCATGGCCTTACCCCGCCCGTCGGCAAGGGGGCCTTACCCCAGCCCTGGCACCCATGGCCTTACCCCGCCCGTCGGCAAGGGGGCCTTACCCCAGCCCTGGCACCCATGGCCTTACCCCGCCCGTCGGCAAGGGGGCCTTACCCCAGCCCTGGCACCCATGGCCTTACCCCGCCCGTCGGCAAGGGGGCCTTACCCCAGCCCTGGCACCCATGGCCTTACCCCGCCCGTCGGCAAGGGGGCCTTACCCCAGCCCTGGCACCCATGGCCTTACCCCGCCCGTCGGCAAGGGGGCCTTACCCCAGCCCTGGCACCCATGGCCTTACCCCGCCCGTCGGCAAGGGGGCCTTACCCCAGCCCTGGCACCCATGGCCTTACCCCGCCCGTCGGCAAGGGGGCCTTACCCCAGCCCTGGCACCCATGGCCTTACCCCGCCCGTCGGCAAGGGGGCCTTACCCCAGCCCTGGCACCCATGGCCTTACCCCGCCCGTCGGCAAGGGGGCCTTACCCCAGCCCTGGCACCCATGGCCTTACCCCGCCCGTCGGCAAGGGGGCCTTACCCCAGCCCTGGCACCCATGGCCTTACCCCGCCCGTCGGCAAGGGGGCCTTACCCCTGCACACGGTGAAGAGCAGGCCAGCGGCGTGGGCTGCAGCTGCCGTCCGAGCCCGTGACTGACAGTGTTTGCTGTGTCTGGTTTGCCTGTGCAGGGACAGCCGGGCAGTTCTGGAGGCCCTGGAGAGAAAGGGGAGCTGGGGGACGAGGTGAGTCCTGGGCGCCTGGCGTGCGGTGGTGCGGTCGGCAGGCACGTCCGAGTGCGCTAACCCTGCTTTTGTGTCTGTGCAGGGACTGCCCGGCCCGCCCGGCCCTGTCGGAGCGAAGGTAAGAGCTGCACATGCCGCAGTCCCGCGCCGGGGGGCCGAGGGGCTCGGCTGCCAGGCTCTGGCTGGTGGTGGCTCGCTCGCGCTGAGGCCAAGGGCGCGGGGTGGGTGCTCAGGGCGACAGGCTCGGAGCCTGGAAAGCCCCGACCAAGGAGCTGGGGGGATTTGTGCAACTTGCCCAGGTATTCGTGGGCCTCGCCGTGGCCCTGGCTCTGCCCCTTGGCCTCCCTTGGCAGCCCCTTGGCCCCCCTTCCTTTCCCACGTGGCAGAGGGACAGTCTGCCCCGGGCCCTGTGGGCTTGACCTGAAGGGCCGCGATGGCGATCAAGGGCCGCAGGGCACGCCGGGCATTCGTGGGCCCCGAGGAGATGAGGTAACTGCGTGTGTCCCAGGCTGTGCCAGGCTCCCGGCTGGCTGGGCTGGCCACCCCACCCCCACCCAAGGGCATGAACCTGGGCAGGCAGGGAGCTGCAGAGGCTTG